CGCAGTTTTGCTGGTACAGTGGATTTCTGTTTGGACAACAGGTAGGAGCTTGGCCAGCAAGGGAGCTCTCTTGCATTATGGTTTTCGTCCCTGCACTCAGGGGTCTACCCATACTGTTAGGCAGAATTAATGAACAGATCTCAGTGTCTGGGACCACAAGCCAGAGCACACGGGATCAGGAAAATTCCCTGTGATAGAAGTAGAGCAGAATTTTGAAGGCAAATCAGCGTGGAGGGACTGGTAAGGCATGCAGGATTAGAAAGTTTGTAAGGGGTAAACAGGAAAGGGCACGTAGGCTTCAGGGCTGCGGGCATGCCTTGGGGGAGAGTCGTGGGAGGACAATGAATAGGAATGCACATAGAAAAGGCAGCAGACAAAGCTGTACAACAAAGTCAAAAACAGAACTAAAGAATGAACCAGTGAGAGAAAAACTAAGCAGGGAAGAATTCAGAACTAAGGCTGGGGAGAAGTAGTGGGAGAACAATGTGCTAGTCTGCTGGAATAGTATCAATTAGGCCTTGGGTGGAGGATGGACAACAAGGAAGGGAGGAAATAAATCTGCATAGCTCCTAGCTGTAGTCATCGCTGCCATACTTCCTGCCTGATGGATTCTACTTGCTATTTAGCAGGAAGCGTCTTAAACGGAGCAAAGGAGTTAACGTTCTCCTACGCCTAGATCTGTGATGTTACTTTCCTGAGGGAGCAGGCTGTCAGCTGCAGAATACACTACTTGTCACCCCTGCTGACAGCATGAAAGGCTCTGCTTTGACTGGGATGTGAAGGAACTGCTAGGTGCAGGAGCAACAAGGTGTAATGGGAACAAGAGCTCCGAGCACAGTGATTCTCTTTGGCTGCCTTCAGATAAGTAATTCCCAAAGGTTAAGTTAGAAACTTAAAGTTCCTAAGATCTCACTGATTCTTAACCCTGTCTCGCTGCCCACAGACAGAACGCTAGGCTTGGTTCTCTACACATGCTGTAAAGTGCTGGTCATATGTGCAGCTCCAGTGTGGCTGCCAAATGCTCCTGGTTTTTTTAAAGTGATAAGCAAGGACCCAAAGGGGTTTATGCCTTATTTGGACATAACCATATCAGGGTGGTTTCCTGCAGTTATTAAGCAACTGGGCTTTGTCGGGAGTTCTGTCAGCTTTCCCCCAGGGAAGAAAGTCTGAAAGTGCTAAATGCTATCAAATTGGAAAGTATTGCTCTGCTGCAGTCACTAGTGAATAAACGATGTAGCTACAGGTCTGTCCCTCTGCATGTTGGAGGAAGAATGCTGAAATAATTCTAAGTGACAAGAGAAAGAAAATCAGGCAGGCAAACAGAAACGGGGAAGGTGCCAAGCAAAGAAACAAGAGAAAGTGAAGCCGTGCATGAACAGGAAAGGGGAAGAAGCAGAAGTGAAGAGATTGAACATACTGACTTGAATTGAATATTGGTGTCCCAGCCTTCTGAATACTATTGCTACTAATTATATACTATGTTTTCCAATAGTATTTCTCAGGTCTTCCCAAACATGGCAAAATACTCTCTTGCATAGTACCAAGGAGAAAGAAGAATGAAGCCACGCAGCAAGATCAGAATGTGCTGGTAGGCTTGGCCTAGTAGACCTCAGCTGTCCATCAGCAGTGGGATTGCCTGTATTTTAATTCCCAGGAAAGGAAATGCCAGTATCAGTTTCCCATAAAAAGCAGTAGGTAACTTAGGGAGCAGCACTAGTTGATTTTGGAAGAAGCCCTGTCCATCTTCCTCTGGTTACCTGGTGTAGGTCTTCAGTGAGAGCGTGAGTAAAAGGCACGGCCGCACGGGAGGGCCGGTGCTGCAGCGTTGGGTTAGCCGTGCAGCATGAGATCCCTGTGACATTTATAGAACACCTAGAACATTTCTTGAAAGTAATGTAATCACAGAGTATGTAAAGGATTACCATCCCTGAGTTCCTTTTAGTGTATAGCTGGAAATTCTGAAATTACTTGGTGATAACTTACACAGCACAGGTTTGCTAACACAGCCCCTCTGGCTGCATCTATATTGCACAACCTAGAAATAATTACTACTTTCCCAATCGTATCCCAGCTCCACTTCAGGGTCAGCTCTGGTTGCACAATATTCTTGCACCCTGATTTTCATACTGAAGAAACCTGAATGTCTGTGGGTGATACCTGCAGTGTGCCCAGCAGATATCTGCCTCTTAGGAATCACCACGGTTGAAAATATTTTCTTCCCACACACATTTAACTTGTTTATTTCTGTTTCCACTTCTAATCTTTGCCCTGCAACATCTTCTCTTTAGCCCTAGTCTGACTTCAGGCACCACAGTGAGGACTGCAGCAGACCAGTTTGTTTTACAAGCACATGAAAATAATTTTTCTAGGTATTCAAAACATCCGACTTCCCCAAAGCTGGTTCCAGCTACATAAAGTAACTGAAGAAATAAAGGGAGGGGAAAAAAAAGCTAGTGCTGCAACTTGCTGCCTAATGGGCTTCCATCTTTTTGCAGGTTGTTTCTCTAGGGTGGTGTAACATGCAGAAGAACAGACAGAAGTTTTCCATGTCCTTTCTGGAAAAAGCACTGTGCACCAGGAAAAAGGGATGGGGTGCATTAGGGGTGGGACTAGATATATCATGACTGAGGAACTGGTTTGCCTCAGCCTGCTGAAAAATTAACCGAACCAATTCCTTGCTTTGAGCAGGTCTCTGAAAGGCAGGTGGGTCCCTTCCCCTTCTCCAGGCACTCCCAGGGAGAGCTCAGACAGTGGGAAGGAGAAGGAAGGAAAGGACGTTGACTTTCATTGGCACTTTCTTATATTCCTGTGCTGATAAACCTCTGACTAAGCCCTTTCTTGTGGAACTTAGTGCTGGCTACCCAATCACGTGGGGCTTGAATTATAGTTACCGCATTAAAAACATGAAGAAAAATCTCCCAGCGAGACTAAATCACCCACGTGGTCCCAGGGATACCAGTCCCCACAGTTTTGAGGTGGATCGGCCAAGCTGTGAGCATACTGTTGAAAAGGGGGGGGTGGGTCCCCAACACACACACGCTCTCCCTCCTCCTCTACCATTTATTTTTTTGATGGTAGACAAGGTTCTGCCCAGATCTGAGAGGCAGAATGCAAATTTTCCCTGGGGAAAAGGCTTCCTCCTGAGAGCTGTCTGAAGAATTAAGGGGTACACACTTGATACGTATTGATAAACCACTTATGTGTGTTGTGGCTTTAACTCCTGGGAAACCGCAACACGAGAAATGAAGTTATGTCAGAGCCTGTGACACACAATACAGCTACTAAGAAAAAGCAGTCTTATCTTTGTTATCTCATCTTAATAGAGGAACTTAATATATATTATAATATGAATAGTAAGTGTATAGTGTATGTTTATAATACCTATTTATAACTAAAAATTATTTAAGAATACAGTGTGAGGTGTACTCATCGGGTTTAGAGACAACAAATCTCACTGCCCAGGTTACGCTTCTTTTTAAACGGTGGGGCACAAGTTGTGCAAATCAATACACTATTTATTGAAGATTCACACACTGGGAACTGAAATGTATGCTAGAACAAAACCTTCCCAGGTGATAACTTGCCATTTACTGCTCAATCTCTTCTAAAATTTTCCCCATGTATGTTTGTATGAAATCCTCTGCACATAGTGTACCTTAAAGACAAAACATCCCTTTGCCTTCTTTCCAAACAGCTACCCGACCTCCTGCTGTAGGTTTTTCCTCTTCCTCCTTGGCCACCCACTTGGAAAGTGCCATCCGTCCCTATTCGTAAAAAAATCGGAGTTTCTCGTGGATATTTCTGGTTTCCAGGCCTGACTCTGTTCAGCTGGCCACATGTTTGCGGGGTGGCTGGGCGCAGGGGTGCCCGAGAGCTCCAGCGCACGAGCCGAGGGCGGCGGTGGCTCCCGGTTCTGGCCGAGGTGCCAGCTCGGTGGGCCCAGGCGGTGCCTGGCCACCCAGCCCCTCTCGGCGCGGCACAGGCGGTGCCGCCGCTGGCGGTACAGGTAGAGGCAGCCGGGGAGCGGCACGTAGCCCTGTGTGCCCTGTGCTGCTGCGCGTACACTTCAGCTAGCTTGAGAAGCTCACTGGCTTTTCCAAGTATTTTACCCAGAGGCTGACAAAAATGGAGGAAGTCATCTTACAGAGCAGCGTAGGATAGAGATGGGAAGAGTGAGCAACATCTGCTCACTGCGTTCCTTTTGAATCAGCCCGAATAAAGCATCAGCGGAACTTCTTGCTATTCTGATCCATTTTCCTTCTCCCAAGTTACACTAATACAGTCTCTTCTACCGAGCTGCTCTGCAAAGTCTGACTCACTGCTGGATACTGTTTCATAAACTTAAGTGATGCAAAGTCCTTGCACAACTGCAACTCTGGCATGGTAATCTTAACTTTTTTTTCTTTTTTTCTTTTTTTTTTTTTTTTCCAAATACTCCTGCCATTGAACGCTCAAATTAGTAAAGTGTGTTTTGTGACGATTTACAAGCACTACTTGGAAATTCAGAAGAAAAATAAATAAAAAAACCCCGAGCCCCTTCTTTCGCCCTTGAAGAAACGCCCAACTAAAAGCAAATTACAGCGACGCGGGCAGCAAAGGCAGCCGGTGTTCGCCCGACCGACCCGCCCTGCCCCTGAGCAGCGGGGCCGATGCCCCCGTCCCGCGGGGGACCCGCCACCCCCCCCCCCCACGCCCACCCGCGCTCCGCCCTGCGGCCCCCGGGGTCCCGGCACCGCTCCGGGAGCCACCGGGACGCGGGCGGGGGGACGCAGGGCGGCCCCGCCGGTACCTCCGCTGCCGCCGTCGGTCGCGCCGCCTCTGCCGTGGGGCGGCGCCGCCCGCCCCCAGGCCCGCCCCGGGGAGGGGCCTCGGGCGCCGGGCGGGAGGAACGGCGCGGCGCGGAGCGGGCAGAGCGCGGAGCGGCGGGGCCGGGCGCCTTCCCTCCCTTTCCCTCGTGGTTTTTCCCTCCCTTTTTTTTTATCCTCCCCGCCCGTGCGCCCGGCGGGCGGGGCGGTCGCCGGCGGGGGCCGCCCGGTTCCCGTGGCAACGCGGGGCGCGGCGGCGGCGGCGGCGGCCATGGGCAGCTGGGCCGCGGCGCCATGGCGGCTTGGTGGCTGCAGCGGGCGCGGCGGCCTCCGCGGCGCACCGCGGCGGTGGGGCAGCTCCCGCCCCGGCGGTGGGGACCCGGCGGCGACCCTGAGCGACCTGCTGCAGAGCTCGGTGGAGGCCGAGGAGCCGGGCGCGGCGGCGGCGGCGGCGGCGGCGAGGCCGGAGCGGCGGTCCCCCCGGGAGGGCACGGTGCTGCTCTTCCCCGGGCAGGGCAGCCAGTTCGTGGGGATGGGCCGCGGGCTGCTGCGGTACCCCGGCGTGCAGGACATGTACCGCCTGGCCGGGAAGGTGCTGGGCTACGACCTGCTCTCCCTCTGCCTGGAGGGGCCGCGGGCCGAGCTGGACCGCACCCAGCGCTGCCAGCCCGCCGTGTTCGTCGCCTCCCTGGCCGCCGTGGAGAAGCTCAACCACCAGCAGCCTGAAGTGAGGGGCGGGGAGCGGCGGGAGGCCGCGCCGGGCCTCGGGCCTCGGGCCTGGGGCCTCGGGCCTCGGGCCTCGGGCCTGCGGGGCGGCTGCCGCTTGGGCCGGCGGGGACGGGCCGGGCCGGGCCGGGCCCCCGCGGCTCGGAGCCGGCTGATGTTTGGCGTGGGGTCTGTCTCCGTGCAGGTGGTGGAGAACTGCGTGGCGGCGGCCGGGTACAGCGTGGGCGAGTTCGCGGCGCTGGTCTTCGCTGGAGCCCTGGGCTTTGCCGAAGGTGCCCGGGAAACGTGCTGAACCCCCCAGTAGGATCCCCCACCCTGGGCTTTTTCCAAAGCATCGCCTGTTACCACTGTGTCCCTCCCGCCTTTTTTTTTTTTTTTTTTTTTTTCTTTATTACTATTATTAGAGGATAAGTTTCACTTTCTTTTCCCGCTGTTCACTTTAACACGCGTAACATGGCAATTAAAAGCATTGATGTTTCCTGAGAGTGAACAGCCCCCCTTTTTTGCGTGCAGGGGCAAAGCGCCTTTAACAGCGCTTCGTGGGGGGGGTTGTATTTACCCGGTATCTCTGTTTTTCTCCTTAGCGCTGTACGCGGTGAAAGTGCGCGCTGAAGCCATGCAAAAGGCGTCGGAAGCTGTCCCCAGTGGAATGCTCTCGGTTATCGGTCAGCGCCAGGCAAATTACAAATTTGCCTGCTTGGAAGCCCGTAAACACTGTGAATCGCTGGGCATAGAAAACCCCGTATGTGAAATTTCAAACTATTTGTTTCCAGACAGCAGAGTCATTGCAGGACACTTACAGGTATTGCTTCAGAGTAACTCTCCCTTTAGTTGAATTTAGCATTTAGTTTTTTAAAACTTTTACTTGCACTTCTGTGTGGAAGTTATGTACAGCCTTAGTTTGTCCCAACAGAAGTATTTCGTCTTGTGGTTTTTTTTTTTTTTTTCCCCAGCGTGAGCTTAGTTGATGAGGTCGTTCTTGTGGGCTGACTGAGTAAACGTTTATCGTGCAAGACTCTCACTTTTCTCTCTCTTTTGTAGGCTTTGGAGTTTTTGCAGGCGAATGCTCGAAAATACTATTTTACACGTGCAAAAATGCTTCCAGTCAGTGGGGCTTTTCATACCAGACTTATGGAACCAGCAGTAGAGCCGCTGGCTGAAGTCCTAAAATCGATTGAGATTCAGAAACCACTGGTCTGTGTTTATTCCAATGTTAATGGCAAAAAGTACATGCACTCACAGCACATTGAGAAGCTGTTAGCGAAGCAGGTGGTTTCACCTGTTATGTGGGAACAGACCATGCATTCTGTGTATGAAAGAAAGCAAGGAACAGAATTTCCTTACACGTATGAAGTGGGGCCTGGGAAACAGCTAGGAGTCGTTCTCAAAAAATGTAATTTAAAGGCCTGGAAACAATATAACCATGTAGAGGCTCTGGAAGATGAGGAAGCAGCAGAGGCCTAAGTAGCCTTTTGAGAAAAATCCACGCAACCTGTTTTTTTCTGCCTAATTTTAAAATAACTTTGTGCTCCCAAAAGAGGAAGTCTTAAACATTCATGGCTTCTGATGATGAAGAGAGCACCGTGCCCGTAACCGCAACGAACATTTTCCTTCCCTGTGTGCCTCAGGTATGGAAGGGGAGAGCTAAGTCTGGCTCTCCCATCTGTGTTGGGACTGCAAAAATGCCAATAAACATGCCAAATAGCTTCTGTTTGGCCTCAACTCTGCAAGCAACTTCCCCTCTCTTTTATTTTTTTCCTTTTTTTTTACATTTTGGGGGGGGGGGTGGGGAGGAGCTGGGCATGGAGTCAGGTTAAGGTCAGTACCTTTGGCTGGCTGGTGCAGGGATTTTCTGCATGGACACAGGGGCAGAACTGGGCTGTTGGCTCCGGGCTGTGGAGGGCTCTGCACCGGGCTCGAGGGCGCGTTTAGAGGAGCCGTGTGGTCGGTATGGCTTGCGGTGCGCTGGTGATCCTGTTTTCTAACTAACTCGAATTACTTGTGGGACATTAATCTTTGTAAAATTATTTTGAGTCCAGATTGCCAGGTAGCAGCCAGGTGAGGCAGAAGGTGCTATCAGGAATGTGATTTTCTTAAGGTTGAACTACAAATAAACTATAAAGCTTTTCTTGGTATTTTTAATGCTGTGGGGCGCATCATTACCAGCCTGTAGTCCACATGTCGATGGAAGTAATTTTCCCTCCAGTTGACTGGTGCTGCCTTGGTTGTGCCGAGTTACGCAAGAAATGTTTCACTGAAACGTTTGCTGAAATGCTGCACCTCCCCAGAGGTGCCAGGTTTCTGCTGTCCCCGACGGAGCCCCTGAGGCAACGTAGGCTGAACTGGCCCTCTGGATGACTTTCCCTGACAGGAGCAGAGAACAGCAGCGCTGGAAGCTGTGTGGAAAGATCTTTTGGGGGGGGCACCTTTGGCCAGGGTGAGCCCTGGGATAACAGAGTGCGGGGGAGGAGGATTTGAATGCTGGTATTTTGGTTGTCTCTATTTTTGACTGTGTTTTGCCAGCTTGTACGTTTGCTGAAAGCAGGAGATGAGGTGGAGAGTAGCGGGCTGTCCTGAGCCCTCCTGGAAAGAGCTTCTCAGTTCACTTGTGGGCACCGACAGTCGCTGGCGGCGGGGGGAGCACCCGCCACCTTCCCTGGGGGCCCACGGCCCCTGGGATGGGATGGGATGGCTTTAGCACCAAATCCGTGGGTTTGGATTCTGTAATCAAACCCTTGCCTTACTAGAACAGGTACAGTCGTGCCCCAACATCGCGCTGCCTGTGCAAGAGACCCGCAGGGCGCACAGAAGATGCAGGCTTGCTTGGTTTGCCCTTTGCCTGTGAGGGGCACTGAAGGGTTTGTGGGGTGTGAGAGAACAGTGTTTGCCAGGGGATCGTGTACTAACAAGCAGGGAAAGGTTACGGGGTGCAGGTTATGGTGTGACCAGAAGCTTCAGCTGAACTCTAGCTTTTTTTTGTATTTTAATGGTATACTTAACAGATATGTAGGGAAAATTTAGGATATATTACTTAAATGAGCATGCACATCTTCAATAATTTATTATGAAATGCTGAATTAATTCCAATTACAATGTTAATCATTTCATAATTTCACATTTCTGGAAAGGAGAGTGAATTTGAAAGTACTGGCGTCAATTATGATGGATTAGTGGAATGTATTATTAAGCAGTTCTTTTGTGAACTGAAATTGGCAGCTGAGCCTACTTTTACAGTACAAATTTCACTTTTGGCATGTGTAAACATTAACTATTGGTAAAATACAGAAGAATTTGTCAGCTATTGGGCTACCAGAGCCTGCCAGTTGAGGGTTAGGGTTACTGTAAAGAAAATTATTTCAGGGAAGGCTCCTGTGTTACAGGTAAGGTTTTAATTATTCAGCAAAGTATATCAAAGTCATCTCTAGATGGTTAGAATAGCTCAGTCAAATCCCATTCGGATTATTAAACACTGAATTATGTGCTGTGTTAGAAGTTTCTCACTGCATCTTTGAAGACCAAGTGTGATGTTAGCGACTTTGAAACCAGCTTTTATGATAGCTGGACCTGAGCATGGTGTGTTGGTGGCACTAATTCTGGTTTTCGTCCAGTATTTATAGTTTCTGGATTATTTTTTTTTCTTGTGGAAATTTTGGAGACCTGTTTTGTATTTGTACTGTTCTTACCATAATTTTTTTTTTTCCTCCTGATTTCACTTTGTTGTGCACTGGAATAAAAGCTTTTTGGGAGAAACATACTAAGAATCTCTTGTTTGCAAATGCAGAATATTGGATAACCTCTGCACCTTCATCGGATGCAGAGTGCTGAAGGGGTGTCTGTATCCGAAGAGCATCACACTCTCGTGGACGCTGCTTAATTTTTGGGGAGCAGGACCCGCAGCCGCTGCACGGGTGTTTGCTTTCCTTCTGTGCAGCGTCTGAGCCTAAGCGGGGGTACGAGGCAGCTCCTCAGTGAGCCTCGGGTCTTCAGAGCCAGTGTCTTCAAAATACCAGGCGGTATCGTGCTCCTGTGTTGGTGCTGCAATTTATATCAGCTAAAAAAGTGTGATGGAGGTCTTCGTACCTCAGCATCAGGCGCGCTCAGGGCTTGCTTTCGTGGGGTGCCCGGCAGCGCGGCGTCACGCTGGTGTACGGCTGTAAGTGAGCTGAAGGGCGTCTCGTGTTGGAAAACTCGCCTGAGGCTAGGCAGGGAGCGGCATATGGCATAATTAAGAATTTTGGATCTTAGTGCTGTTATCTGCCGTTCTCTTACGTGCTGACTCATCTACTCCTTCTGCTTCTGGAAACTGCACATTTAAGATGTGTAAAGTCGGCGTGGTTCCTTCACCCAGGAACAAGCAGAAACAGGATGTGAGAGGGAAAAAAAAAAAAAAAAAATCAAGTGCTGTAAACTCTGTAACATGAGGAAGTAAAAAAAAAAATTGGGTCTCCCGAGTCACAGTGCAGAGCCTTAACTAAGGCTCTTTGCTCAGCACCACAGGTGAGAGGGGAGCCTGTCAGTTGCCACTACTGCGCTGCTCCAGCGTGTGCTAATTCTTGTTGTGGATGCTGTTCGCTGTGCGCTTCGCTTGCTTCGTTGGCGTGATGGTATTTTATATTCCTTGAGACTGTGTTTTGCTCCGTACGTGCTGGATGCTGAACTTCCCCTCTCTTGTGATTCAAAACATTACATTATTAAACGCAAGAGTGTGAACAAGCAGAGTCATCCCACACAGCTTTCAAAATAGGTAGAGCAGGAGTCTCCTGTTTATCATTTCTCCTCTGTGTAAAAAGATGGTTTATCTAGAAATAATTGAAGTTATTTCATAGTGTTAAAGTGATTCAGCCAAGAAAATCCATTTTTTGGCAGCTGGTACTTTTATTATACTTGCATAGATTGTTTATCAGACCTTTTGATGGGAATTTTTGCCCTTCACTAAATAATAACTTCAACATATTTTCTATCACACTGCTGTTCTGGAGTTAAAGAGAGCAGCCAGTTCCCTGATGAAACTTCGCTCTGGTTTTTGGTTATATGGGCAGTTCAGCTGGCCAGCATCTGGCCCCAGGGAGACTAAGGTTCCAGATGTGCTAACCATGCTCTTCTAGAAAAAAACTTGCCTTCCTGCTGCTGAAGGGCAAATCGGCTCAAGGGCATTCTGAAAAGAGGTGACACTAGGATATATGCTGCTGCTGCTGCTTGAAATTTTTAGGGTCCGCTGGAGCTGTCGCCCTCTACATACCTTCTTTGCGTACTTTCTTTTTGCTCTTCATTTCAGGTCAATCAAAGAAAGATACTTAAGTCCTTTAACATGAAATGGTTGAATGAAGTGCTCTAGTTGAGCCTTCTTTTCTTTTTTTTTTTTCTTTATTTTTCCCTTCCATAAGAATTTTTGAGATGGGCAGTTAGGATCATAATGAGATCTGGGCACCATGCACGGAAGAGAGGAGATACTTTCGTCAACCCGCTTAAACTTGACTGGGTTTGGCATTTGTCTCCACCGAAGAAGTGGTTCAAATTCCTTGTCTGATTTAAAGCAGGGACTCGAACTCGAAACTCCCCACCTCTCAGATGAGTGCTTAAATCACTAGGCCATTAAATACTGTATTTTCCTGTTTCAAAAGTGCGTTAACCGTAGTAGTCGCTTGACTAGGCAGGAAGCAGGTATCCCCTCTGCTGAGGGGAATACCCAAACCACAGAGATGCACTTTCGTTTTCTCTCGCTGAGAGAGAATCTGTAACCGTATTCAGTGAAAACCAGCTTCAACAGCAAAGGGCAGGGAAGATGCACCCAGATATAGAGAACAGCTTGGTACAGCTGAGGCGTGTTGTCGAGGGAGAATGAAACCCAACGGTGTCCTCGTGGCCGCCTGCGGAGCACGTGGGGGTGACAGCTACGCCACCTCCATCCTCTGAGCTGTGCTCCAGTTTCCCTTAGTCATCCATTTCCCCCTGAGCGCATGCCTCCAAAAAGACACGTGTCCTCAGAAAAATCCCTTTTTCAAATTCTTGGGGTTTTTTTCTGGGCAGATCAAAAATTTTACTTCAAAGAGAGGCAGAGGAATATAAAATCTACTAGTAGATTTCTGAAGAATTCTGGAAAAGTAACAGCCTGTCTTGAGTGGTCCTCAAGTACCAACCCAACCAACTTGCTTGCTAGCTCATCCTAACTGCTCTTTTTCCAATAAGCTATCTTCTCATGTGCTAGTCTTACTACTTAAGAATCAAAGACAGCCTGTCCTGTCAACTTAGACAGCAAAATGTACAAGACAAGATATTGCACAATCTTGGAAAATAAAGATAGATAACATGATGAAACATGTGAAGCAACAATTTAATTTTTAAAAAGTATCATGGTTTTAATCTTTACTATTGCTTTTACAGTGTTAAAATTTAAAGGATGTCCAGCATGCCTTCAGTCTTCCTCACATCCAGAATCTCTTTAAGAAACTCGTTTATATGAAATAGACACTTTATATTGTATTAAAACAAACACAAAAAAGACAGACTTTTCTATTCGCCTGGAGTCACATTTCAAAACTAGCAAGTCAGGCAGTTATCCAGCAACGACCTCCTTATTTTAAACATTTTTCATTTTTAAAAAAGGTATGAAACAGCAGTGACCCAGCACCAGCCTAGGTTTTAAATACAAAAGAGATTTTTATCAGTGTAAATTTGAAAAACAAACCAGCTGCCACCACCTGGGTGTTAATGATATTGGTCAGAGTCCAGC